CTACATGACTCATAAAAAACTGGCATGTTAACATTAAACAAATTTTCAGGCAGCACTAGGTTTAAAGTTCTTTATGTAATAGCTATATATGCTGGAAAAAATCAATATTATTTATAGTATATTTTCAGTTACAACGGAATTAAGCTGGAAAATATTAATAGAAAGATAATTACAAACATCACAACTATGTAGAAGTTAATATCCTTCTAAATAGTCTTTTGATTCAAGAATAATTGTTTTCAACTAAATTATAATAAAAATCAAAATGACTCACCAAAATTTATGGGATAAAAATAACAAGTCTGTATAACAGATCTTATAGCATTAAATGCATATATTAGAAAAGAGAAAAAGATGGAAACCAATTATTTAAGATTCTGTTTCAAAAAGCAAGATCCCATCAAAGCAAGCCCATGGAAAGGAAAAGGAAATAAATAATAAACATAAACTTTATATCAGTAAACTGAAACAAGCATACTATAGGAAATGAACAAACCTAATGTTATTTAAGATTAATAAATCTAGTTAAACCTTGCAAAGCTGATAGACATAAAAAGTGATGCGAATTACCAATATACAGAATAAAAGAAAACATTATTGCACATTTTATAAAGATCTGAATATTCTGATATACATTGTTATTCTGATATACAAATATTGAGATATGCCTGACTATATGAGTATTCTGATAAGCATGAAATTGAATCCATCTTTCCGTAAAGAAAACCCTGGCAACATCACCTATGACTTCTTCCAGAAACTGAAGGAACAAATGTCATAATCTTTCACAAAACTCTTCCACAAAACAGAAAAGAAAGGGAACAGATGGAACTCTTTTTATGAAATCAGCATAATATTGATTCTGAAACCTGACAAGAATCTCATGATTGGGGAAAAGTAAAGACTAATCATTCTCACGAACATAGAAGGAAATGCTTTAATTCAGTGTTAGCAAAAAAAAAAAAAATTAAAAAATATAAAAAAGGATAATATATTACTATCAGGTGGACTATTCTGGGTATGCACACTTGGGCTATCATTTTTAAAGGATTTTAAAATATGTAATACTTTCAACAGTATTCAACATATTCAAAAGAGAAAGGGGAAAAATTTGATCACCTTGATAGTTTCAGCAAAGATATTTGTCCAATCCAATGTTCATTAATGATAAAGTCCTAATAAATTATGGGCTGGGGTTGTGGCTCAATGGTAGAGAGCTTGCCTCACATGTGTGAGGCACTGGATCTGATCCTCAGCACCAAATAAAAATATATAAAGGCATGTGTACATCTATAACTAAAAATATTTTTTAAAGTCCCAATAAATTAAGATAAAGAATTTACTTAATCTGATAAAATGTCTACAATATCTGCATTTAGAATCATATTCCATAGCAAAATATTCCTGCAATTAGAAATAAGTGGTGTGTGCTACACCATTTTTATTCCACATTGTACTGGAGAAAGTATAATGAGGGAATAAAAAAAGCTTTTTAAAAATTGAAAGTAGGTGAAAGAAAAAAAATTTTTATTTGCAGAGAATACTACGATGTTTACCCAGAAAACTCAAGAGAATTTAGAGAAAATCTATTAGAACTAACATGAGAATTTAGTAACATATTTGGAGATATGATGTATAGAATAAATTGTGTTTTTAATCCAACAACAAAAAAGTATAAAATTAAACTTAAAGGATGCAATTTGAAATAACATCAAATACCAAATGCTTAAGAATGAATCTAAAAAATATGGAAAATTTCTACACTAAAACTAAGACCTTTACAGAAGAAATCAAATTAGGCATAAAACAATAGAAAGCTCAATTATGTTCATTGTGGGAAAAGTCAGTTTATTTTTAATATTATTATTGAAGTGGGAGTAAATTGACAGGCTGATTCTAAACTTCATCTAGAATGCAAAGAATTGAGAATAATCACAACCACCTTGAAGCAGAAAAATAAAGTTGGAAAATGATCATGCGATAGTACAAATTTATTTTTGGTCCTAAAATCTCAAACTGAACAGTAGACTAGAGTGGAGATTCCAAAATCAAACTCACATATATTGATGGAAACGTGAAACTGAAGTTTACTAGAGGAAATGATGTCTGTTTCAATAAAAGGCACTGCATCAATAGGATATCTATAGGCAAAAATTATTGACCTGGACCATGTCCTTTCCCCAAACACCAACACACAAACACAAACTCCAGATGAATTTCAGATCTAAATGTGAAGTATAGAAATAGAAAGAGAGGAGAGAAGAAAGGAGGGGTGGAGAGGGGAGGGAAAAGTAGAGGAGAAGAGAGAAGATAAGATTAAACACTATGAAGGGAACATAATATATGTTTGAGATCTTGGGATAAGGAAAGTGATTTTTTTCCCCTATAGATTCACAAACAATAAAAGAAAAAATGTGATAAGTCAATCTATATTGAAATTTAAGAACTTTTGTTAATCAAAGACAACTTTCAGAATAAGAGAGGCTATTCACAACACATACAACCAGCAAAGAACCTGTATCCAAAATATTTTTTAATTCTATAAGTTAATAACAGAATACAGACATTTTCATTTCAATTATCAAATACTGTTTTTTAGAAATACACTTGTCCTGTGTATGACTTATTTTAATTGAACCTCAGTTGCACAGAATTGCATCTCCTGGTCCAAAACACGTCATCATCACTGACTGATACACAACTATCTTTTATTTAGCTAGTTTTTAAAATTATTTCTTTCTATAATTTAAAGTACATATTTTATAATTATAAAATACAATATTTATTTATTTCATTCTGTAAGACACCTATTACACCATCTTGTGTAATGCACTCATACAACACCCTTTAATAACTTTGAATTCCACCAAATGTAACTATATTTTCTTCCCTCTTCCTATGCCCCCCCGATTCTTCTAACCCACTAATCATTATCATGAATACCATGTCGTTTTTCTACTTTCCTTTAATAAAAAGGGGAGATTTTTATTATATTGTTTCATTAATTAATATTTTAATATGTACACCTAATTTTATTTTAATTAATTTTAACTTTATGTGAAGAGTGTCATGCTGAAAATATTTCAGAATTTACTTTTATCATTTTATAGTATATTCTTAAGATTCACTCAGTCCTTTGTTGTCATTGCTGTTTGGACTTCTGTGAAATTTTCTGTTCTGTGAATATGCCATATTTTGTGCATCCTCTTTCCTCTTTATTGACATTGGATTGGTTCCATACCTTTTTTATCATGAACGGTATGCTAAGAACATTCTTGTATGTGTCTCCTATTATGCATATATAAGAATTCCTCTTGAATATGTGTCCAGAGGTTTAGTTGTGTACTCTAGTATACGTAAATACTCAACTGTATATTTGTTTTGAATCCAGTAATTATCTTTCTTCCTAGTTTTTCCAAAAGATCTAACTTATCATATATTATCATTCTTAAGATGCACTTTATTTCACATTTAAATTCTCTAGAATGTTTTAACAATCAGTGTTTTATCATGGTTTCCTTATTTTTTTCTTTCTAAATAATATATCAAAGAGTGATCTGCCTTAAATCATTGGTATCTTAAATTAGACAATATAATTTTCACAAAAACATTTCTCATACACATACTTCATCTACTGTCATACGGTCAGTTTATAAAACATTAATCTATTTAATAAAAATAACAAACGAGAGTGGCATCATCAAGTGTTGGGTGAAAGACAGTTGGCTCTTAGAAAGCGCATAAAGGATTGGTGGCAGGAATGGAGACAGGTGCTGAAGAGGAGCCATGCTGGCAGCACTCTCCTGTCCTGGCACCAGCCAGGACGTGCTGTGGAGATGGGAGACAGTGTTCATCTGCAAGGGGTGTAAGTGGAGATTAGTGGAGAGTATCCACAACATCCCAAATTACTATGAACTGTGGAGTGTCGTGCATATAATTGTATGACTCTTCATCCTCTTTCCTTAATGTACAGCTATGTGAATCATTTTTTCCCCCACACATTAGCTTAAGAAATCACCATGCCAAGGGGGGTGGCAGGCAGGTCAGCATTGGGCTATTCTCCTTGCAAAGGGGTCTTCTGTTCTCCTTGCCCTATTTTCATTGAGGTTGGGCCATACACAGACCCAATCACCAAATCATTGCCTATTATTCAAGAAGTTTTCAAGGAAAGGACTATTACTGGATTTTAGCATGACCTCATTTTTCTTCTTTGAAAACACAATCTCCAGAGAAGCTTTAGGATGTGCATTCATCCTGTGTTTTGGATCTGGAATATCTCCCCAAGGTCCCTGTATTTAAGTTCCAGTCTCCATGTTGGTGCTTTCTGGGCGGTTGTGGAGCCTGAAAGAAGTGGGGCTTAGCCGGAGGTCTTCTGATCACTGAGGTATGCATCTGAAAGGGATTGTGGACCCCTGCCCCTTCTTCTTTCACTCTTTTGCTTTCCTGCCATCAGGTGAATGCTCCAGTGTGCTTTTGCACCATGATGTCCCACCACAAGACAAGAACAAGAGGGCCAACGATTATCAACTGAAATCTCCAAAACTGTGAGCCAAAATAAAACTTTCCTCTTTGTAAATTGATTATCTCAGGTATTTGCTGCAGTAACAGAAAGCTGACTAACACAGTTGGGTTCCTAGCCTCAAATATTACCAGCTTCAACGTGCTGGGGCAATGGGAGTAAAAGTAGGTGGAGCTACACCGCTTTCCCTGTGGCTTCAAGCTTGTGGTTCTGGAATGAGTGTTTTGAAAACTTTAAATTGAGCTTTTAAACTTGTTTTATAGTTTCCAAATCAGGAAGGCAGAATCCTGCTTGATGATGTGTGTCCAGGAATGAGAGACACACGTTCACATCCTGGCTGTATTGCTCCCATGTGCATCCTCGGTGACCCCTGATTTATGTGACCTCCAGGGTACTGAGCTAACCACAGTCATTCTGGCTAGGACCAGATTTCATTTTATATGGTGCCTGCATGTAGTAAGCACCAAATAAATGCCACTATACTGCCTTTCCTCCTCATCTAAAAACAACAGTGGGGTCAGGAGAAACACTGGCCTCTTCTCCTCCAAAAAGAAATTTGCTATCATGTGATTAGTGGCAAAATAAGAAATTCGAGTATACATACCATCAACACTTTCCCTGCAGTTTTCAATTTCTCTTTTCTAGGAATAGAAGCAGAAAGAATAGGAAAAAAATGTCATTTGGCAGATAACCTTCCCTCCTCCCATTTTGTTTTATTATTATTTTTCCTTCAGGCATCACATCAAGAAAATGAAGCAAATTATTTTCTAAAACTTCTTAGCTAAAAAAAAATTAAAACCAGATTTCTCTGTCTGTGGCCTCTGACTTCTTGGAGCAGATGCTTTGGCATTATTTCTTGCTTCCACACCAGGCTCAGTGCGTCCTCCTCCTTCCACTGATCACAGTGACATGCCAGCAACCCTCCAGCAGTTCCAGGAGTTGAGACAAAGGGGTGAGGCCAGAGCTCATGTGCAGACACAGATTCACTGAGGCTGGAATAAAACATCACAATCACAGTGGTCCTTTTAAAAAAATGTGTTCTGCAAATTACTTTAATTCAATGATAAAGTCTAATGAATTGTAATAGCACTTTGTAGTTTAAAAAATATTTAGGCATCTATTTGATTATTCAACCATAACAGTAAACATGTAAGGAAACATTCATTATCCTCACTTAACATGAGTAAAATGAGACTTTAAGAAGTTGAGTGATTTATCTAAAAATGCAGAGCCACCAAGATGCATTGCTAGGACATACAGCAGCTGTTTTCCTATTTCTGGTCTTCCCAAAGCTCCGAAGGGATCTCAGCTACGTGACCCAACCCCAATTCCCCATTATTGCTTTTTTTAACATTGTAGGAGATACAAGAGTAAGTAAAAAACAAAGAGAAAGAAGGAAGGAGGAAATGAAAAAGGGAGGAGAGGGAAGAGAAAAAGAGAAGGAAAACAAAAGTAGCACATGGCATCTGGTGTCTCTACCAAAGAAGTGTCTGCTGTTCCTCCAAACCGCTAGAAAGGATCCAGCTCTTTATCGTAAATCATATGGAAGACAGAGCCCAGATTTGACATAGCAAACCACACAGAATCTTTAATAAAACTTTTTTTTTTTTAGATTTTTTTTCTCCCCAGTGTTTTGCACTCAGGCAACCTCTCACACCTCTTCCATGTCTTCCTGCTGTCCTGTGACTGCCTCTGCACTGTCCTCTGGCAGACATATCCTAGGCTTTCCTAGGCAATCCTCCAGCCAGCTCAGCCATTTGGATTTGGAGTGAACAAATCCTCCAGCATCTTACTTGGAAGGCTGATTGAACCCTTAAAGAGGAGGAGACAGCGGGCTGGGGTTGTGGCTTAATTCTATCATGTGATTAGTGGTGAAATAAGAAATTCTGATTTTGCCTAGCATGTGTGATGCACCGGGTTTGCTTCTCAGTGTTGCATATAAACGAATAAAATAAAGGTCTATCAACTAAAAGAATATATTTAAGAGAAAAGCTAAAAAACATGGTGGGGACAAACAAGAGGAGCTTCCTAAAAGAGAAAGTACAGTTGGCTTTAGAAAACAAAATGAATTGCAAGAATAACACTAGAAAGGAGGATAAGGCACTGCAAAAAAACATGGGGCTACCAGAAGGACTTTAAGTACCTGAGTTCAGTGAGCCATGATGTGAGCAAGGGAAGTCTGAGAGGAGGATCAAACAAGGGTTACCCAATGGCCATGGCCAAAAGAGATGCAAGTTTTATACACTTGGGAAGATACAGGGGAAAGACAGAGGACCCTAAGCACCTGCTTCTAGGTCTTGTATTGAATCACTGAATGGAGGTGGACCTTATTTAGCAGACCCATTTGGATTTGAGAGAACACAATATGGGATATGTGTGCTAGCACAGGACCACAGAATGGCCCTTTATTTTCAGGAACATGGCAGACCATGGGAGTTTGGGGACACCATGTGGGGACCATGGCAGTTGGGAAACTCAGTAATACATAGTGCTCTGATGTCAAGTCAAGGGCTCACCCCACTATACCATGAGTGTCTCTCCCGGTTAGCTTGGTGATTCTAACGTCTCAATCGTTGGTGACATGAAAAACAGAAGAAAAATTCTAGGAGTCAAGCCACATATTTGTGGGTTCTTAATGTTTTGATAGTTTGGCTCTTGCACAGGCTTTTATTAAATCCAGACCCCCACACACAGGCACACAAATGTCTCTGCAAAGAACTTTTCTAACTATCAAACGATAGCAAAGCATTGGGAGGGGCCTGGCACTTCCTGGTTATTGGAAAGGGAGGAGGGGAGGTGATGGAAATTCTGCTGGTTCAATGAAGGTGGTAACTCAATGGATCTCATGTGCCAAGTAATGAGATCTCTGTTCCCTGAGTCACTCAGGTCATATGGGATATCTCATGGAGGCTGCTCTACTTTCAGTGGATTCCATGGGAATTCAGTAGGTTGACTGACCTCTTTCGTTTTGATGAATTAAAAGTGATGAGTTTTGCACTATGGCATAATCCCTCCATTGGCTAGATTTGGACTCAGCTCATATTAAAACTATGATTATTGAGTGTCTGACAGAATGAATCACAAATGGGTAGATGAATGAATAAATTAAAAGAGGATCTGGGTTTTCCTGTAGTTTCTGCAGGAGGACATTGGTTATGTCTCAGACTTCACAGTTACCCTAGTAGAAAATGATAATTCCAGAGCTTTTAGAAGGTGAGATTGACCCATGGCCCTCACCGAGAGACTGGGAACGAGCCTTTTAGAAGCCCAGTAGTGATGAGATCTCTTCTTCCAAACTGATACCAACAGCAGGATTTTCAAGAGGAGGAGTATGAGCTTCGAAGAAAACCCAGGTGGGAAGTTGGTGGAAACTTTCTGCCTAGATCACAGCTTGCTGGTCAGGGTCACAAGGAAGAGCATGATTTCATGCACATGGAAGTGTGTGGGTTCACCCTTGGGACCCTGCATGAATTCAAGGATTTAGTAACAACAGCTGGAGCTTCTGGCCTCTGTCGTCTCTTACTGACTTTTCTGTATCTATCTATAGCAGAATTGCTGAATCTGACACATGGATCTGTTAAGAAAGAACATAAATCATATGTCTTTTAGTAATTAAAAATGAAAATTGTTATTAGGTGGTTAGGAAAACCCACACCAACTAAATTAAAAGTCGGAAGTGACAATAACTAAAACTGCCCCTGCTACTAATTAAAAGCTAATAGAAATGAATTTTGTCTCTTGACAATATTTCAATTTTCCATGTTGGGCCCAGGAATTATTGACTTTAGTTAAATCACAGTTACTTTGTGTTTTTTTTATTAGTTGTTCAAAACATTACAAAGTTCTTGACATATTTCATACATTTGATTCAAGCGGATTATGAACTCCCATTTTTACCCTATATACATAATGCAGATTCACCCTGGTTACACATCCACGTTTTTACCTACTGCTATACTAGTGTATGTTGTATTCTGCTGCCTTTCCTAACCTCTACTATCCCCCCCTTCCCTCCCCTTCCCTCCCCCCCCTCCCCTCCCTTCCGGTCTTCTCTCCCTACTCCATCTACTGTAATCCATCTCTCTCTCTTGTTTTTTTGTCCCCTTTCCCCTCACTTCCTCTTATATGTAATTTTGTATAACAATGAGGGTCTCCTTCCTTTATCATGCAATTTCCCTTCTCTCTCTCTTTCCCTCCCCCCTCTCATCCCTGTTTAGTGGTGATCTTCTCACGCTCTTCCTCTCTATTCTGTTCTTAGTTGCTCTCCTTATATCAAAGAAGACATTTGGCATTTATTTTTTAGGGATTGGCTAGCTTCACTTCGCATAATCTGCTCTAGTGCCATCCATTTCCCTGCAAATTCCATGATTTTGTCATTTTTTAGTGCAGAGTAATAGCTAATTAAAAGCTAATAGAAATCAATTTTGTCTCTTGACAATATTTCAATTTTCCATGTTGGACCCAGGAATTATTGACTTTAGTTAAATCACAGTTACTTTGAAAACAGAGTGGGCTATGTGTAGACTGGAACAGCCCATGAGGGACAGAGGGTGTCAAGGAATAGTTTACCCTTCCTCCCTTCTGGAAATCCATTCTTTGCTTTGGTCCCCCCAAAGACTAATCTCCTTGAGGGAAAAGAGAGCCTGAAAAGGCGGGGAGAGGCTTGGGCAGTACATGGTCAGTGACATTGGAGCTAGGCATGGGGGATAGGCAAGGTGGGTTAGGGTGGAACAGGGAAGCCCTGTGAGGCAGGTGTGGGGCAAGGAGGTGGTGTGGCAAGTCAAGATGGGGATTGAGGATTGGAGGAGGTGGAGGAAGGGATTGGAGTGGACTCTAAAAGAGCCCTATAACTGCCAGAACTGAGTCTTCTGGTCATGAATGTCCAGGTTGAGAACCCAGGCCATTTGACCAAGTTGATTTGAATGTAAGCATCTTTACTACAATTAAACAACTATAATGAATTACGAAGACAGGAGTCTACCCATGAACTTTTATCCCTAAACTTAGGCTCCTGAGAATTTGTAAATTTGTGAGATGTGACATGGTATTTTATTTTCCTCTTTCTTTGAGTTTTACTTCTCACAATGAGAGTGAATACCTCTTCACAGTTCACTGTGCAAAGGTGACTCCTGAAGCTTGTGTGTATCTATTCCTCTTTTGTGTTTTTTTAAAGTGTCTGTCCATATTTTTCTAACAGCTAAAGTAACTCCCTAGACATTATATTTTGATCCTTTCCTATTATATATATTACATACATAACTTCCATGTTTATAACTTTACTTTGTTTGCAGTATTCTTTGATGAATAAAAACTTAAAATTTTTGTGTGGTCATATTTAAGTAATATCTCCCATTGTAGAGTATGTTTTAGTTCTTGTTAAAATTTTCTTTTGGGGCTTGGGATGTAGCTCAGGGATGGGTAAAGCTATTTATTTATTTATTTTTTCAGAAGATTTATAAATGTTGCATCAATTTTAGTTCTTCTAATGTCCATTGTATTAAGTTATATTTTTAAATTTTTCCAATTTTCTTTTTTGAAAATTATTGACATCTGCTTGTTAATAGCCCTTTAGTCATATTTTCTTTTAAATCTGTTTATTTATGTCCTCTCTTACATTGAAAATGTTATTTGTCTTAGCTTTCCTTTCCCCATGATCAATTTTGCTATTTTTAAAAAATGCTATTTTTTAGCTTCTCATTTCTTTTTTTAAATAATCAATGTAACAAGTCTTTACCATATTAATCTTTTCTATAGCACTTTTCTTTGGAATAATTCTTTTGTTCTTTCCCTAATTTCATGATTTTTTGCCTTTATTATTTTACTTTTTAAGCATTTTGAGTTATAAATTTTTGTTTTAGTACTTCTTTTACTATGTCTCTAAATGCTGACATGTAGTAAATTTATTATCATATAATTCTAGGGATTGTTAATTTCCATTATAACTTATTATTTAAATCCTTAGAAGATTTTTTTTTAATTTTAAGATATGCAAAGTCTTTAATCTGTTTAATTTTAGCTTCAATTTAATTATTATGGTCAATAAACATGAACATACATTGTGGATTTTTTGAGGCTTGGTTTATGAGATAGTATCTGATTAAATTTTGTAATGCTCCTTGTATACTTGAGAATCATGTATATTCTATAAATTTCAAATAATAAATTCAATTGATTTGTTTTTACCCACAATGTTCCTGGCCTACCAGGAATATTTTGAGGTTTTTGCCTGTTTGACATATTTATAATCAAAAAAGTATTTTGAAGTTAATAATATATTGGTGATTTTTCAGACTTTCCTGGAACTCTATCAGTCTTGGCCTTGCACATTTTGAGATCTACTAGGTGTAAACATACTTAAAAATTTTATATCATCTTGACACTTGAATACTTTATCACTATGTAGTGATTCTCTTCATGCCTAATAATTGTTAAAGTCCATCTTTCTTTCTGTACAATCTTTTTTTTTTAGCAACTTCCTGACATATCTTTTTACATCCTTTATGTAGAAAATGTCTAATCCTGAAAGTAAAATTTTCCAAGGCTCTTCTGAGGATGGAATTTTAATACAGAGAATTGGCTACAAATAGGGTGGAGGATATAAAGCAGAGAAAGGAAAAAAGTGAGTAGCCCAGGTATTAGAAGTTGCATGATTCCAATCATGCTGTGGCTATACCACCAGCACCTCAGCCTCAGTAGCCTCTGTCAGTAGAAGCAAGGGTCAGCACTCCCTTAAGCCCCTGCCGACATCACTATTGGGTTGTTGTGTGATTTCCTGTGTATGTATATTGTTCCCCTTGCTACCCTGGGGGAATAATTTTATAGTAAGAAACCATCTTATAATAAGCATCCCAATTGGTTTCCAGTATATCAAAATCCTTGGATGTGCAAATTCTTTATATGAAGGGCATAATATTTCCAAATAACTTATACACATCCTTCTGTCACTTTAAGTAATCTCTAGACTACTTAAATACCTAATACACTGCAAATAATATAAAAATAGTTTCCATGCTGTATATCTTGGGAAACAATGCCAAAAAAAATCTGTGCATGTTCAGTAAAGACATAATTTTTCTGTAAATATTTTCAATCTTCAATTAGTTTAATCCATGGATGTGGAACCCATAGATTAGGAGGGATGGCTGAAGTGTTATTGTACTGCTATGTGTTCCTTATAGTTTATATTTACAATTTTCACTTTATAAAAATAGTGTGATGCTGTACATAGTATCTTGGGTGTATTTTCTCACTTAACTATGTACATCGTCATCTTATTCATATTGTAGTAAGTCTCTCCAGTTTATTTTCATTTCATTATATATACACACCCAAGTTTACTCACATTCTCTCCTTTTGATGAGCATGTGGATTGTTTTTAGAATATCTGTAAATATCATTGCTATCAATTTTCTTGTGTGAACATTTTGCTTGAAGATATACGAAACGTGAAACTGTAGATGATAAAGTGCATAAATAATGAGTGCTATATTTGGATTTTACATGTCCCCCAAAAGCCCACATAATGGACTTGATCCTCGTGCCATGGCAGTATTGAGAGATGGTGGTGATTGTAGGATGTGGGGCCTATTGGAGGCCTTAGGTCATTGGGGGCATGCTCTCAATGGGAATGTGCAATACCCATCACTTATTCTCTGTCTTTACTTCCCTGTCACCATGAGGTAAACAACTTTCTCCACCATATACTCTTTCCACTCTACCAGATGTTCTGATTCAACATAGATCCAAAGGCAACAGGGACATCCAACCATACACTGAAACCATATATCAAAACAAAGTTTCTGCTTTTTAAGTAAATTATCTCAGATATGTTGTTACAGTGACTGGAAGCAGAGTAACACAATGAGGTCCTGTCTTCCCAGATGGTTTCAGCAGTTTATATGGCCATCAATGAAGGAAAGATTTTGTGGAACCACACACTCTATTCAGGTTTCTTTTTTTTAGTGATTTCCTATGGACAGAATAAGGGCAAAATAGTATTTCATTGTACACATGATTGATTTTTCCTTGATTATTAATGATGTTAGACATCTACAAACATGGAAATATATTAAATATATGGAAAATAATACAGGTAGCTCATTGATCTAAAGGATATACTGAATCAAAAAAATAGAGAATACAATTTTTATGATTGATCATGTGCCAGGCTAGTAAATAAATTCTCAAAAAAATTGTAAAAATTTCTTATCACTCAGAGAATATGTTCCAATTGTGACAAGATTAGTTTAAATGTCAATGACAAATAAGTTGACCAAAATGTTACAAGTATTTAAGAGAGTAAGAATGCCTTAAGAATGAAGGTGATTGACATATTGCCTTTCTAGTGTCTGATGTATTCTGCTGTCTGTCCTATTCTCTACTATCCCCCCTCCCCTCAATGGAAGGGTAACTGATGTGATACAGCAATCTGTATACGGGGTATAGTTGGGAGTTCATAACCCGCTTGAATCAAACTGTGAAATATGATGTATTAAGAACTATGTAATGTTTTGAATGACCAATAATAATAAAAAAAAAGAATGAAGGTGAAAGAGAAATCATATGGGATATCATAAAGTGTTTAGAAATATTAGTGCATAAAGCATATAATACAGGGGAAATTTGTACCCTTAAATATTATGTTAGGAGAACTTAAAAGGTAAGTAAGCTAAAAATTGTGCTCTCTCTCTCTCTCTCTCTCTCTCTCTATCTCTCTCTCTCTCTCTCTCTCTCTCTCTCTCTCTCTCTCACACACACACACACACAAGATACTCAAGGGGGAATGACATTTTCAGAAAGAAATGTCATTTTTTAGTAATTTTCTATGGATAAAAGGAGGGTGAAATAGTACTTCATTGTATACAAGAAGTTGATTGAACTTCACTGAGATGAACTTACAAAGATGAATATGTATAAAACATACATTTGAGATCATTGCCCTAGTTATATAAAGAAGCAAAAGCAATCTTCTCAAAATGACCATAATGATATCTAAGTCCTTGAATTATTTGGGGGGTCTTCAAACACTCTGCCAAGTATCAAGTCTAAAATGCTGAGACTTACAAAAAGAGATGTGAGTAGACAAAAAACAAAGACATATGTATGCTTTGCAAATATTATCTCCTAGTCTGAGACTTCTCTTTTCATTTTCTTAACAATGTCTTTTGAAGAGCCAAGTTGTATGACTCACCCTACCCAATTTTAAGACTTACTGTAAAACTGTAGTCATAAAGACAATGTGGAATTGGGTGAACAAATAGACCAAAGGGACCAAATAGACAGTTATTTGATATTCAATAAAACTTGAAAGGTAATTAAATGAGAAATGGTAGTATTTTCAACAGATGATGCTAGAATATCAACTTCATGAAACAAAACCAAACCCTTAATTCTTACTTGGACCACATGCAAAAATCAATTTGAAATGAATTATAGACTTAAAACCTAGAAATGCAAAATTCTAAAATGAAACATATGAGAAAAAAATCTTTGTAGTCCTGGGTTAGGAAAAAAAAAAAGTTCTTAGGAAACAAAAGATTACATCATAAGAGAAAAATGTGATTCAATTAGGCTTCATTAAAATTAACATTTTCCTTTTAATGACTTTTAACCTTCAAAGCACCATATGAAATAAGTGCTATTATCTCTATTTTACAGATGAAGAAATTACAACACAAAAAAAATTTAGACCAAAATGCTAGAAAGAAGAAAACAAGTGAGTAGATCCAGGTATTGGTTTCCAAGTGCAGACTTTGCCTCTCCATAAACACAGAAGTTTATCTGATGCAATATAAATGCAAACATAAATAACTTATATGAACTATGCCACAATTCTGTCAAAGATAATTGAAAACTGGAAGTGTATTCATACATATAGGATCTTTATCTTTTGTGTATAGAGACAGATATCTGTGCAAATATTTAATCCCACAGGCATTTGGCATCATCAATATAAAACCACCCCAAAAGGGACTTTTCCCAACTAATGTCCAAACTGATCTGATAGAAAACAGCCATTGGTAACCAACTGTGATTTCCAAGGAATAAAAATCCCAACACTAACAAGAGCTTGGTATTTCAAACTTTGCTTGAGAGCTTTGGGGATCAGACAGAAAGGAACTCAGCACCAGTTATTCACCCATAATGATCTCATCCTATGCCCTCGGATCCCTCTGTTCCATGTAACTACATTTCCATACATTTCGCTCTGCTCAGCTACCTGGTGTTTTGCCTGATTTTGAGAGCAATATTTGATAAAATTCCACCAACAAAAAAATCACGATGAAGTGGACTGAAAACTTTTCCAAAATTCAGAATGCAGGCTTTTATCAAACTGTCTACTAAAAATGGAATCGATGGGGCCTAAAGCTAGCATGGAAGCTCTCAGGGAGTTGAAAGCTAGGGCACAAATCCACAGTAGAAACCATCCATCATTGGCAAGAAGATTGGATCTCTTCCATGCGTTCTTTCCTTTAAAAAAGAAAGGTTTTGTAGGCAAATGTGCAATGTAAACATAGACTCAAATAGTTGATGCCTGATGAAAGAACTTACCTGTCTCCAGTGCAAATACATTAAATTACATAGAAGAGGATGTGAGGGGAAAAGGGGGGAAACAAGGGAGAGAATTGAACAACAGCAGATGAGATAGAGAGGGATGATGGGAGGGGAGGGGAGGGGGGGTAGTAGGGGATAGGAAAGGCAGCAGAATACAACAGTCACTAATATGCCATTATGTAAAAATGTGAGTGTGTAACCGATGTGATTCTGCAATTTGTATTTGGGGTAAAAATGGGAGTTCATAACCCAATTGAGTCAAATGTATGAAAGATGATATATCATAAGCTTTGTAATGTTTTGAACAATCAATAAAAAAATTTAAAAAAACAATAACCTCAAACAACCATGTCAGGCCAAAATTCCTGTTTAAGTTTTATGATTAAAAAAATAAGATATTATATACAGCCCACCAATGGACAGATTCTGAAATTTAGTTGTCATATTGAAGTAACATCTACTAAGATGGGCATTTGAATTCAATATTATATTTGGTACTGAATCTGGTGCAATAAGAGTTCAAGCAAGAGTGATTCCTTTCAACATGATTTGATCCAGATCAGACTCTGCCCTTGGATCAGTTGGGTAGAGGAGTAGCACAGGGTGACCTTCAGTCCACAGGATCCCACTGTGTCATCACCCTGTTTATCAAGAAGAACCCATCAGAAAGTTATCTACTATATACCTGACTGCCCACCAGCAACCTGCTCCCCCTTGCTCCCAAACTTTCAAGCTTCCCCTGATGCATGGGCTGAGAATCAAGATTCTTTCCTTAAGGTGATACATTAAGCCCTTTCCTTCCTTCCTTCCTTCCTTCCTTCCTTCCTTCCTTCCTTCCTTCCTTCCTTCCTCCCTCCCTCCCTCCCTTCTTTCCTTCCTTTGTTACTTTCTTTTTTAAATGAAAAGCTGTTCTTTTTACTTGCATTGTTGTACTGTGGCTTCGAAAAGTAAATATAAGATTTACTTCCTCTTTTTAAAATTTATTATTTATTTATTCTAATTAGGTATATATGACAACAGCATTTTAATTCATTGTACACAAATGGAGCCCAACTTTACATTTCTCTGGTTGTACACAACATAGCATCACACCATACATGTACCTGCAGTCATAAGTGTGTCTAGGGCAATGATGTCGACCTCATTCCACCATCTTTTCTGCCCCCATAACCCCTCCCCTCACCCCTCCTTTTCCCAAAGTTCTTCCATTCTTCCCTTGCCCACTCCCATTATGGATCAATATCCACTTATTAGAGAGAACATTCAGTCTTTGGTTTTGGGGGATTGCTTACTTTGCTTAGTATGAAGCCATTTCTGAGGTTGACAACCTCTTAGCTGAAATTTCATGTATTATTTCCTTGCACCAAATTTAAACTATATCTTAAAGCTCTACTCTCTAAACTTCCTGTGAATCCTGGCATTCCTTGTTCTTTTGTATTATGAACCTTTCAAGCTCACTTTTACCTTGAATGAGTCTTCCCGGGAAACACCTGTTCACCCTTTCAGAGATAACTACCACCTTCTTTAAAAAGAATTCCCAAATTCTCTCCCACATAACATCCATTCAGGACTGAATCAAAATTCTTTCCTTCAGGCATGCCAAACGCCTTTGCTTACTTTTCCTGTGATATTGCACATTACCCTGCATTAGAAGAGTCAGGACTAGTATCTGATAATAGATTCCATTCCAGCTCCTTGAAAATGAATAAGCAAAAGGATTGGAGATGTGGCTCAAGCGGTAGCATGCTCTCCTGGCATGCTATGGGCACTGGGTTCGATCTTCAGCACCACTTAAAAATAAAATAAAGATGTTATATCCACCGAAAAGTAAAAAAATAAATATTAAAAATTTTCTCTCTTTAACAAAAAGTGAATGCTGTTTGAAAGACCAAATAAT